TTTTGTTCAAAAATTTCTGTTAGTCCTGGGTTTTTAGAAAGGGTTGGATAGTGAATCGACGTTTGAGGTCGTTAGACACTAGCTAAGTGGGTGGGGGAGAACAAAATTGTTCTTTTTGATCCAAGGAGAGGCCTTGATGATCAAGTTTTAAATTTTATTAAATAGAAAATGATTTAAGATCCAAGGATAAGCCTTGATGATCTGATTTTAAAATTAAGTGAATTTAAGTTTAAATAATGATTTAAATTTGTGTAGAGAAAAGATTTAGTGTTTTTATGATATTAGTGAGCTTATGAATGCTGTTATGTTTAGGTGATGAAGCTGGAACAACAGGATGATTTATAATTACTAACCATTTATTGTCATGCTACTAATTTTTATTTTAATTTTTCAATAAATATTTTTCAAATATGTTTTGTATATTACTGCAGAATTTAGGTAAACGATCTGAGATCTTTTTATCAATCGTTATTGTATACTAATATTTGTTTAGCGCCTGAAATGATTTTGAAGATTGACTTCAAGATTTTATGTTTGCAGATGAAAATCTAAATTCATTGCTAGTAGTATTCTAAATACAAAAGTTTGTGTTGGCTTTTGCCGAACTATCATATAACTATATGGTAAGTTTCTACTTTGTCGTATGTCGTCTCTGGTTCGAGGTCTTCTTGCAATTCCGGGTAGTTCTGTTATCGTTCGGAATATTGGCTCTGATCTATTGAGTCGTAGAGACATTTCGATTAAATTATCGCCGTATAACATTTTGTAAATGTTTTTGTCTAAATTCTAATCTATTTTTTGGTTAATTCTAAGCTATTAAGGTCTTGTTCGAGACTTATGGTCGCACCAGATGAGTTAGGACCGAAGTGTATAACTCATAGAGTAATTTCGGATAGGGTACACCGTCTGCTCGTCACGCTATCTTATTTTCGGCCGGATAGATTCGTGCAACTTCTTAGTCTAATACCAATCCTAATCTTACTCTTATACTATCTAGTCTCAGGTTGTTTAACTAGTCTCTGCTAGGCTCAATAGATCTAGGGTATACTGGTTTATTGCGGTTGCTGAAGTCTTCTTGGAGAGTCAACTAATTTCTAAGTTAAATTCAAATCTCTCTGGTGCTGAAATTACAAGTAATTTCAGCACTTACAAATAAGTGGATTGTTAGTTAGATGGATCATGATTGGTTAATATCAAATACTTTACATTGGTAAAATATCTAATTTATCCAATCATAAAATGTAGTTTAGATCAGGTTCCATTATTTGCCATAATTGGCTTGTTACAAGGAGCAAAATTTATCCTTTTGTACTTTATATGGCGTGTGGGGGGTTGATTTTCATTTAAAAAATTCAAATTTTAGAAATTTTTTTTCATTTTGTTTTATTTCATTGAACTTTTTTAAATGTTATTACTGCTCCATAAACCTTAAAAGGCAGTCGAAACATTCAGGGCTTCGCCCTGATACGAGCAGTTTTGTTTTACTTAGTAACTTAAGTTAGCGCTATAAGTCTCACGCTATAAGTCTACATATATCCTTTTGGATCTGATTTATTTTTTAAATGATGGTTACAATACTATAGGCTATTCAGAATGATAAGCGATACAGTTTTCATTGGCGAGTTGTTTATTAATCAAACAACTTCTTAATTCTTAGCTACCTATTTGGGGTTGTTTGTGAGTCGGAAAAATATAATTGATCGTGAATGGGGCAATTTTTATCTATAGATTCTTTTAATTTATAAAGTTCGTCTAAACTGTTGGTTTCTGATTCTGAAAATGCGTTGCGGTTTTTGGAAAATCTTTTTCGTGTAATTTGTCTTTGTTTGGTTATTATTTTTCTTTTTAGTGTTTGTCGTTTTGTTCTGATATATCCAACTGTTTGTGTGTTTGGTGTGATTACAAGATCGTATTTTTTGTTATCTATTTCACAATTGTGTAAAACGATTGTTTGTTTATTTCCTAGGTTTTTAAATGACATAAGGTTTAGGATGACGGATGCAAAAGGTTGTTAAATGATTTCTATTACTTAGACTGTTAGTCCTTACGATTTTTGGTTAGCCTAACCTGGGTCTATTTGTTCAGGGTTGGGGAGAAAAGTATATCGACTCCGAAGAATGATTTTATACTTTCTCGTGGCTAGTATAAGTTAAGGTGTTAACTTACTTAATCTTACTTAAGGGTAGTGATTGTGTTCAGGGTTGGAGAATAGTAAATCGATCCACAAGGTTCAGGTATAAATAGAACGCGAGTAGTTCGTTAGATACTATTTTAAACTTACTAAGTCTAAGATTTATCCTGGGTCTGGTAAGAGGGGGGATCAAGTGAAGGATGAATAACCGAAGTTCTTCACTGTTTATCCTAATTTGAATGATTAGTTTTGTTCAAAAATTTCTGTTAGTCCTGGGTTTTTAGAAAGGGTTGGATAGTGAATCGACGTTTGAGGTCGTTAGACACTAGCTAAGTGGGTGGGGGAGAACAAAATTGTTCTTTTTGATCCAAGGAGAGGCCTTGATGATCAAGTTTTAAATTTTATTAAATAGAAAATGATTTAAGATCCAAGGATAAGCCTTGATGATCTGATTTTAAAATTAAGTGAATTTAAGTTTAAATAATGATTTAAATTTGTGTAGAGAAAAGATTTAGTGTTTTTATGATATTAGTGAGCTTATGAATGCTGTTATGTTTAGGTGATGAAGCTGAAACAACAGGATGATTTATAATTACTAACCATTTATTGTCATGCTACTAATTTTTATTTTAATTTTTCAATAAATATTTTTCAAACATGTTTTGTATATTACTGCAGAATTTAGGTAAACGATCTGAGATCTTTTTATCAATCGTTATTGTATACTAATATTTGTTTAGCGCCTGAAATGATTTTGAAGATTGACTTCAAGATTTTATGTTTGCAGATGAAAATCTAAATTCATTGCTAGTAGTATTCTAAATACAAAAGTTTGTGTTGGCTTTTGCCGAACTATCATATAACTATATGGTAAGTTTCTACTTTGTCGTATGTCGTCTCTGGTTCGAGGTCTTCTTGCAATTCCGGGTAGTTCTGTTATCGTTCGGAATATTGGCTCTGATCTATTGAGTCGTAGAGACATTTCGATTAAATTATCGCCGTATAACATTTTGTAAATGTTTTTGTCTAAATTCTAATCTATTTTTTGGTTAATTCTAAGCTATTAAGGTCTTGTTCGAGACTTATGGTCGCACCAGATGAGTTAGGACCGAAGTGTATAACTCATAGAGTAATTTCGGATAGGGTACACCGTCTGCTCGTCACGCTATCTTATTTTCGGCCGGATAGATTCGTGCAACTTCTTAGTCTAATACCAATCCTAATCTTACTCTTATACTATCTAGTCTCAGGTTGTTTAACTAGTCTCTGCTAGGCTCAATAGATATAGGGTATACTGGTTTATTGCGGTTGCTGAAGTCTTCTTGGAGAGTCAACTAATTTCTAAGTTAAATTCAAATCTCTCTGGTGCTGAAATTACAAGTAATTTCAGCACTTACAAATAAGTGGATTGTTAGTTAGATGGATCATGATTGGTTAATATCAAATACTTTACATTGGTAAAATATCTAATTTATCCAATCATAAAATGTAGTTTAGATCAGGTTCCATTATTTGCCATAATTGGCTTGTTACAAGGAGCAAAATTTATCCTTTTGTACTTTATATGGCGTGTGGGGGGTTGATTTTCATTTAAAAAATTCAAATTTTAGAAATTTTTTTTCATTTTGTTTTATTTCATTGAACTTTTTTAAATGTTATTACTGCTCCATAAACCTTAAAAGGCAGTCGAAACATTCAGGGCTTCGCCCTGATACGAGCAGTTTTGTTTTACTTAGTAACTTAAGTTAGCGCTATAAGTCTCACGCTATAAGTCTACATATATCCTTTTGGATCTGATTTATTTTTTAAATGATGGTTACAATACTATAGGCTATTCAGAATGATAAGCTATACAGTTTTCATTGGCGAGTTGTTTATTAATCAAACAACTTCTTAATTCTTAGCTACCTATTTGGGTGGAGAATTTGTGCTAGGATGCATAAAGTTTCAACTTAAAACTTATAAAGTTACCTCTCTCAGTTTCGGAAATGTTAAAATTTACTAATTTAGTTTTAGGAACTTAAGTTATCGTAAAAACCGAGAAAAATCTTATCCGTGTTTTTCTTCGGCATGTATGAAATTTTGTCCGGTAAAAATTGAATGGTCGGACTTTCGTTTGTCTGCGCAAGTTTTGTTGGCTGGCTTAGTTGCCACATCACGGATTTTTTTTGTCCTGTAAACAATGTTCATTACATTTGCAAGTTTTTAGCCTTGCAGTTTCAGGGGGGCTTACAACATTTTTGCAAAATCATTTTTTTCCGGCTCAACTGGTTTGTTCTCTAAGATCTTTGGCTTTGTTTCCGCTTCGTAAGCTTTCTTCCGTTGCTAATTTAATATTCAAATGTTTTGCTCGGCATGTTCGCCTAGACCTAGTTTTTTCAATTTTTTTTATTTTTTTACGTGTGTTTTTGTTATCTCTCTATTGTATCGCAAGTGATGCGAAGCTCCAATTCAAAAAATTTGATTAATCGAATATACTCTTGCTTTTTTCCATTTTACAGAACGTTTACCGTAGTCGTTTCTTGGTTTCTTTCTTTTAGAAATCAATTATTTATTAAATTTTTGTTTTGACAATGTTCTTATATTCAGTGTTCTTTAGGCTCCAAAAGCACTGGTTGCTTATCGTTTTTTTTGTCTCCGGGTCAGAGCAGGACAATTAAAGCAGTCAGCCTATTTGGCGACACTTTTTCTTTTGGCATCCGATTGATGCTTATTCTTAAAGCATTATGTCTTAGGTTAGTATTTAACAATACTACATTATATAACAAAGGCTCGAAGTCTTTTGAATCCCTTTCAAGGAAGTTAGTCGAAAAAGTTTAATTAGTTCTAAGTATTTCGTTTTCCCTTAATTTCTTGGTTTTCTTTTCAGAAAAAGGCAGTACAGCCGTGCAAGCCGATATATCTGCGCCAGTCAATGTGAATGATGCAGATTGCTGCTCATCCAATGGCAAATTTTTCAAATTGACATCAATAGAGCCGTCTCAGTTTGGCGCCGAAAGTTTCGAAGTTGACGGCAACGGGTTATTGTACATTTTCAGTGGTCTAAGTCAAGGTTCCTATGCAGTTAATGTAAACGTAGAAGATCAAGATGACCCCAATGGTAACATCAATGTGGCGTCAAAATTCCAAATTGAAGTGTCTCGAGTTACTAGAGAGATGATCGAACAAATGATGACGATAAAAATCGTAGGAATAACCGCCGATCAATTCGTTGGATCTGCAACTCAGTTCAGCCGAGTTGATTATTACGCCAGATTGCGTAATAGTATCAGACAAATTATGTCACTGCAAAGTGCGGAGCAGGTCGTGATTTTTGGGCTGAAAGAAAGTGATGATAATTATGAGACTGATTACGGCTGGCCCTATCATCAGCCAGAGTTGGATGTTGGATTTGTAGTAAGAACTGGACCTGGAAGCGAAGTATTCTACTCACCAGTGCTCACGAATTTCTATCTTAGTTCTAGCCGCGTCAGAGTAAGTTCCGCTTCGCCAGTATTTGAAGCGAAACAGCACGCAAAAAATATGACTAACTTATTTAACATATACTCTTAAAAACCTTTAAAAATTATAAAACATTACAATTTTCTAAATATAAAACATCAAAAATCCTTTTAAGCGAATCCTTTCAAAAAATTTTTTCAGGTAAAGTTGTCTTAAATTAAAATTAAATGAAAAAAGAAATGATACTTTTAAAATAAAGGATACCTTCTGTTAAAAGTTGTCGGAACTGCTGGGCTTGACTGTGGCCGAAGTGAATGTGGAGCTGTGTGACACTGGGATAGCTACTACCCAACCCGATTGCTACACTAGGCGCACCGTAGACACTGAAAATGGAGCTATTCTAGTCGGATCATCATCTCCCAGGTGAGCCTTTCAGCGTTGATTGTGTCGCATTGTCGGGCATAACCTGATCTGATGCAGGAAAAACTTGACATTAGTCGTTCGGTCAAATCCAGATGAACTCAATTCAGCTTGTTGACGCGACGCGTATTTGAGTGTGTGAAAACTGTTTATTGTTCCGACCATTTGAAAAATGGAGAGGAATTTTGAATTCGGGTGTGTTTTAGTTTTTTGTTCCAACTTTCGTAATGAAAAAATCGGAATATTTGTGCTCGGGGTGGGTTTGTTTTCTTCAGGCAAACTTTGACTTTTTAAATAGCCATTTTTGACAGAATTTTTTTTATCGCTCGAAAGGTATTGTTGTTCTGAGCTTAAGTTTGAAAAGATATTTCACCTGTAACCATTTTTCGTAAAGTTATAGGGGTTTGAAGATTGCCATTTCGGCCAATTTGGGGTAATTAACGCGCAATTTATTTCGCGCTATTAACGCGTAAGCGGAGATCTCATCTGTGTTAGAAATCGTTCCAAATTGGGCAAAAGAAGCTTATTTGCCATAATTGATTTGTTACTAGGAGCAAAATTTATCACTTTATACTTTATATGGCGTGTGGGGGGATGATTCTCACGAAAAATCTCAAATAAAAAAAATTCATTCTATTTTTATTACATTTAATTTTTCATGCTTTTACTGCTCCATAGACCTTAAAAGGCAGTCGGAACATTCAGGGCTTCACCCTGATACGAGCATTCTTGTTTCTTTTGTTTTCCACGCAAAATCAGGTACCACAAACAATCATCAGACTGCGTTTAGTGATAAGTTATATTGAAGCCCTCTCAGTCGTGATTTGAACAACTTACAAAATTCACAATAATTATTTCTATCGTCGAGAAAAACCGGTTTGAGATTTTTGATATTTCGTCTTAATTCGAGCGAATAAAGCATGCGAGCAGGCTTACAACAGCTTAATTATGCCTATTTCAACTTAATTTTAAGCAAGTAAAACTAAGCGAGTTTTTTAGCTTCTTTTTGGGAACCAAAGACTTCAAAGAACTGAAAATTTTTCTGGAAAAATGTTCATATAAATTTTCCTTTTTTTAAATTTTTTTTCTTAGTTTTTCTTGTAATTCTTCTACGAACATTTTTGTTCAATTTGTCTATATTACTATAGCTTTCTAATATGCCTAAATTATATTTTTAGGTCAGATCCTTTTATCACACCGAGCAGAATAAACTACACTAATTTGGAAAAAAGCTTTTTTCCACATATGTTTTCAATTTTTTTTATTCTTATGTTTTTTATTGTAATTTGCATGAACCGTTTAAATTGTGATTCTGTTTGATAACTTTTTTTGAAGCTCAGTAGATAAAAGCGTTTTTAGCTGATGTGGGATTTCTGCTTCATTTGGAAAAATTTTTTCAGAAAACTTCTGACAAACAGCTGGAATAATCAATATTGCCTGCTAATTATCTATGTAATCAATACTTCCTTAAAAACTTCTTTATATTGAATACTCATCATCCATGTAGTCAATACTTCATTAAAAATTATTAATCTATTATAACTGTATTGAAAGGTCCATAGTAGCGCTTCGAATGGTGATTGAGGCCGTGAGTGACCAGCTGTACTACAAGGCCATAGCCCCACAGAGACTGTTCAACGTGGAGGAGGAGGTGTGTGTTCGCAACCCATGCAAGAATGAAGGACAGTGTGTACCCGAGTATGGCGATTTGTCCACGCAGACTATGAGATACACTTACAGGTGAGCGATAATGTGATATCATAAGGATGGTATCATAGGGTTTGAAAGTAGTTAACTTGCGTAGCACAAAATATATCGCCCATTGTAATGTTGTCCCAAAATATGCACTAAATGGACTCGTTGATTGCTGCGAATTTGTCAACTAAAGCCATCATTAATTCACGCACTAAATGGACTCGTTGATTGCTGCGAATTTGTCAATCAAAGCCATCATTAATTCACGAAAAGATAGATTCTCGTAAGAGCTATCATGCTCTTACGACAAACCGCTGCTCCATCTCCAGTCTCTCAACCATACCTCACAGAGTACTCTCGTTCTCTAGTCCAAAACTCTGGGACTTATCACTATTTCAAAAACATCAGTTGAGATTGCTCTTGATGGCCAATGAAAACTCAGCATTGGCTGGTGTTCTCCGCTGGTGGACTAAATCCACCATAGAAACAAACTTCCCTAGGACAAGTACCCCAGAGTTTAAAATCCCCCAAACTCAAACTGAATGACAGGGCAGCTAGTGTTTTATTACGAACCTTCTTTTTATGTAAACTAAATCGCAAAAAAGTTTTCCTTGAAGTGTTCACTTGTGTGCCTATCTTTTTAAATGTTAAATGAAAGTCGGCTGTGGACGCAATGTTTAACTGAACGCAATGTTTTAGCATTGTCGAATGCAACGTTTAAAAGCTTATTTAGGCTTAACGTTTCAGAGAAGGCCAAGATTGTTCAAGTATTTTCAAACTTTCTGAGTCTCGAATTTTCTCGAATCACTTTTGACAATAATTCAATTCATTAGACTAGATGAACTCAATTCACTTTCAAGGCTAGACTGTACCTGTCCATTTTTCCGAAATTTTGCCTTTACAGATTGATTTTAATCTGAAGTGAACTAACTAAAAACAGCAACCTCCTTGGTGAAATCTAGTTTTTGCAAACCGATCTGCATTATGAAAAATTTCGAGATAAATCAAAATTTCATCGCCTCAATAGCTTGCTTAGAAAACGTGAAACTTCTCGCCAGTCGATTTGCTCTGTGAAACATTTTGACTTATTTCGAAGTTTCAACGAATGCTCAGAAAAACTTCGAACCTCATAAAATCTTTGATATGTTTCAAACTATTTCATAGACCAAATCGTTTCGCAAAAAATCTTAAGTTTCATAAAGCAAAACTTTTCGTAAACTTTTTCTAAGCCAGTTTTTCCCGAACCGACTTACCCTTTGATATAACATAAAATATTTCAAAATTTCAGAGCTTTAATAACTTCCATAGAACAACTTAAGTTTTTCGCAAAGCAATTGGGTCTATGAAATAGTTTGAAATAATTCAAAGCTTCATTGCTTAAATAGCTTGCTTAGAAAAACTTTTATTTTTTGCGAACCAATTTGGTTTAAGAAACAACTTGAAAATTTTCGAAATTTCATAGCTTCAATAGCTTGCTCTAGAAATCAAAATTTTTGCGAACCCATAAGATCTATGAATTAACTTGAATGTTTCGAAGTTTCTTAGCTGAAATGGCTTCCTAAAAAACTATTGACTTTTGCGAACCGATTCGATCTATGAGATAACTTGAAATATTTAGCTTTCTGCAACACGATTTGGTCTTAAAAACAACTTGGATTAGTTGAAGGTGTCATAGCTTGCCCTTTTTGCCGACCGATTCGTTCTATAAAATAACACAAAATTTTTCAAAAAATCATAGCTTGAATACCATCATTCAAAAAAACTAAATTTTCACGAAATGTTTTGGTCTAAGAAACAATTTGAAGTATTTTAAGTTTTCATAGCTTCACGAGCGTGCTTAAAACATCTTGAGCTTTAATTTGCTTTGAAAAAGTTTTTCGAAGTTTTATTCAGTTTTTTTTGCCTAGAAAAATTTAATTTGGCTCCAATAGGAAAACTTGGTTCCTTTTTTTAAAATTCCTTAAAGATAGCCAAGTTTCACAGCCTGAATATCTTGCTCTGAAAGAATTTGGAACCGATTTATCCTGAAACTACCTGAAGTATTTCATAGCTTGAGTAGCTTTCTAAACAAATGATTTTTTTTTGGACCGATTTGCTCTATGAAAAACTTGAAAGTTTCATTGCTTGGTTAGCTTCAATATGAAAACGTAAACGTTCCTTAAATCCAATAGTTTGCTGAGAAAAAGTACAATTTTTTTTGCTATCCGATTCCTTCCATGGTATATTTTGAACTGTTCCAAAGTTTCATAGCTGGCTTAGAAATTCTCGAACTTATCGCAAACTGCTTCGATTTTGAAATAACTGAAAAATGCCAACTTTCATCGTTTAAATAGCTTCATTAAAAATAATTAATTTTTTTTCCATCTGGCTCGCGACATGAAATAATTTGAGAATATCTCAGTGTTTCATGTCTGGAGTAGATTGCTAAGAAATTTTTTAACTTTGTGCCTCCGATTTGATTCTTGAAATAACTTGAAAAGTTTCATAGCTTGCTCAGAACAATAATTGATTGTTTGCGAGCTGTTTAATCATTTGATACAGGCTTGCTAGTTTGCTATAATCACGATCTGTAGCATTGGAAATTTCATAGCATCTGTTCTCTGCTTAGTTTATTGCTAGCGTTTGTGATGGTCTTAGCATCTGTGGCTGAGTGGTTACTGCGTGAGACTCAGAATCTCTAGGTCACAGTAGCTCGCAGATCAAACCCGAGGTGTAGCCGATTTTTTTTTACAAATTATTTTTTCTACTTCTGTTTTGCAATTTTTGGAGCTCTAGAGCTGCATTTTGTCGTGTTTTCGCTAGTGTCTGCGAAGCGAAGCTTCGGCTTTGTGTTTTAGGATTGCGATTTAGGCTTGCGATTTTTTTTTTTCGGGTTAACAACTAGTTTAACAAAATCATTGATTCAAATGACGCTGCTATGAGATGCTCATTTTGATGCAATATTTCAAGCTCATTTTCAACCTCATTTTCATGAAAATTCAAATCTAACTACTGGGTGCGACTAGTTACTACAGGGTAGTTTCAGGGGGAGTTGAAACTTTAATTTTTTTGCAATTTTTTTTTTTCGTGTCGTTCCAAAGATTGTCGGCCTTGTTTCTTCTTCGTAAATTTTGTTCAGTTGCTAACTCGAATTTTAAATGTCCTGCTTATGGTGTTTGCCTAGAGTTCTTGTTCGATAAAAACAGGTAATATGAAAGTGTTTGGATTGGGTGTTTTTGTTTAATTTTTTTGAGGCACTTTTTGCAAAAAAAAATAGTTTTTTTTTTTGCAAAAACCGTTCTACCTATTTTCAAAAAAGGATATCCATAAAAAGACCGCCTACATTCATGTGTGCCTGTATAATCTCTTGATCTCTTTTTGCTTTACTCTTTTGTCTACAGCCTTTGAAATAGTTTTTGGGGTGGAATATTTGACCGATATTTTAAGAGTTTTTGTGTTTTCTCAAAAACTTTCGTGCCAAATCTGCCGAAGTAATCTTTTTAAAATTTTCAAAAAGTCAAGAGTTTTCACTCTTCTGACATATTTTAGTAGAGAAACAAATTAAGTTTTGAGCAAAGTCCAGTTTTTGAAATAACGCGTTTCATCCCGCATCAGTATAAAAATTTTAAAAATATCAAACACGTGCCTCCAGCTTTAGCTGGGCCTTAGGTGTCCGTCATCCAGACACACAAAATTTTTGGTTAGCCTTTTTTCAACACTTCATTTTTTCGACTTATGTTTTTTTTATGATCGAGTTGCATCGCACATTGTGTTTTCGTTATCACAGACTGTTTTCTGAGAAAATATTCGCATATTTAAATTTGTTCAAAATTGTTATTTTTTGATCCTTTTGTTTTTTTTTCGCTTTCAAGATGTGATTATACTTTGAGTTCATGTGAGTAAAAACTATGGACAAAGCATCTGTTTACAGTTTTGAGCCGATCATACAAGCTGATTGATTTTTCTTACTCAGATTAAGTATTCTTTTTTATAGCATTAATTTTTGTTCTTACATAAATTACAGAACATATGGGGTTCTACTAAATGATTCTTGATCAGACCAAATTTTGTGTAACACCCCAAAAACACAACAGCAAAAACAAGAAGACTGCTCGTATCACGGCGGAGCTCTGAATGTTCCGACTGTTCCGTTTTTTTGTCCAAGCTCTGAAGGTTCCGTTTGTTTTGGAAATCATCACCCCACGCGTTGTGCAAAGTACAAAGTGATAAATTTCGCATTGACCAAAGTTTTAAATACATCAAATAGCGTGCCTCACTTGAATTTGGAACTATTTAATTGACAGTATAAATCTCCTCTTACGCGTTAATAGCACAAAATGTATTGCGCGTTAATTGTCCTAAATTGGACTAATGGGCAATCCTGAAACTCCCATAACTTTACGAAAAATGTTCAATGGTGAATTTTTTTTTAATTTGAGCTCAAGATAACAATTTTGAATGGTATAAACTTTTTTTCAAAAGGTGCTATTGAAAAAGTCGAAGTTTGTCTGAAGAAAAAACTGCCCCCGAGCTGAAATATTCCGCTACGCATGCTCTCAGATTTTTGCTTTCAGATCCCTTAATTGTTTGTATTTGTTCATTCAGCGCGTACAACATAGATTTACAAACATAACAGGTGAATCTAAAGCTGTTCTGTATCTAAAAAACAACAAACAGAATGATGATTGTTAAAACTACATGGGAAATCCGGAACGCGTATAATAAAAATAACACGAGGAATCCGCAACGCGTGGAGGAATCCGGAACACGCCGTGGAATCCGCGTTAAAATATGTATTAAATCAAAGGATTAACCGCAGTGGGGAATTGAGGTCTTTATCGCTACCACAACTAGGGTCGTCGATTCCCCATTGCCACGAGAGGTAATAGTTGTGTACTGTAATGACTTTCTTTGAAAGACGGAAGAGCAAAACAGCAATTCGAACCGCAGTTGCCTCTGATTGACAAAAATGCAAATTGCAGTTTTTCTTTTTTTTTTGGTAACTAACGTGTTAATTTTTGTAGTTGAGCTCTTATAAACGCAAGTGGGCGTAATGAGTAAAAAGACGCAAAATCATTCATTGAACAAGAATAGCCAGTTGCAGTGAGAATAGCACAGAAAGTTCCGACCAGTATAACAAAAAATTTAAATAAAAAAATTAGTTTCTTTTTTTTTCTTCCAAATTGTGTTGTGTTTTGTTCGTGGTGTAATAAAAGAATCTGAACGAAAGCCCAAAAGTCAGGTATTTTCAATAGTTTTATTTTATTGGGTATGTTTGACAACAGTTGCTCATTAAAAATTGAAGAGAAAAAATAAAATACCAAATGTAAGAATTTTTACTTGAGTAAAACAAAGAAATATTCAGTTTTATAAGTCAAGTTTTTATTAACTATTATACGCCTATTACAAAACGCCTCGTCGCTCGCTTGGTTCGCTCGAAACTAGACAAAACAAAAACCGGTTTTTCTCAATACGGAATTTCGTAATGTCGTTCGCATAACGACTGAATTGGCTTCAACGTGATATATCACTCGACCCATTCCGATGATTATTTGTCAAACCTGCTTTTGCGTGAAGACCAAAAAAATAATAAATCTGTAATACAAATTTTTTCCTCATTTTCAATGGTTGGAATGAAATTTAAAAAGTCCGATGACAAATCTCCTCCCCATTTGCAATGGTCAGAACAAACACTTAAAAACACGAAGACAAAGAAGTTCCTCCCCTTTTTTGATTACTTTTGACATTATACTTGGGAATAATGACTTTTTACTTTACACAAGTATATCATATTACCTTTGAGCACATGAACGAAGTTTTGTAGCCTCGTTTTCGAATCTGAGACCAACTCTTTTCTACATATATCATCATTTTAATTTTGTACTTCGTAATTTTTCTAGATTATATGTTGAATTGTAGGTGTGAATGTCGGCTTCTTTTCACTGGACCGAATTGTGAGAAAATGCAGAGGACTTTCCTGGGTTCTCAAGGGAACCCCTCCTACGCACTGTATGCTCCACTGGTCATTTACAGCACAGACGAACACCTGCAGTTTGATTTCATGACAGACAAACCAGATGGCTTGTTGCTCTATGCTGGACCCATGGATCAGTTGTACCACCCGACGAGCGTAGAAGCGTTAAATCAAAGTAATCGCTGCCGTTAATTAAAGAGATCGTGGTTTCTTTTATCAAGGTTTTTTATGGTGGTAACAATAGTACGCAGTTTCGGTAGAATTATTTACAAAACAATTTCTGCTGTATGACGCCTAGCTTTTAGTTTTTGCTTTTTGCTTAATTTAATATTTTTAAGTGTCATTGAACATAGTGACACTGTGGCAAAGAAATTCCATAAAAACAGTCGAAAACACAGTCACCCGCATTAAACACGCTTTTAGAATTTATCCAGCGGCCGCTAAGCCGATAATAAATACTCGGACAAAAGCTCATTGAGCCGAAAACAATCAAGAATGCCATAAGAAATTGTTGTCATAAAAAAATTGAAGCGATTAAATGTTCAAATTATACATGGAAAATAAGCTGTTTTCTAAGTTAAAAAAATTTATCTAGAGTTTTCTAGGCACTAAAAGTTCAATCAATTGAAAAAGATCTGAAAAAAGTTTTGAAAGTTTTTTTAAGATTCGTTTTTCATAGACAACTAGTCATTATCTAGATTGCCATTATTTTTACAGCAAGCACAAAAATAATGACAAAATGACAAAAAAAAGAAAAAATAACATGGTTTTTTTATAGTTTTTTGTTTTGAAAAATAACTGTGGTCGGAACTTTCTGTGCTACTTGTACAGCAACCGGCTACTTTTTTAAAGTTTTTCAAGGAGGCCTTGTTATTTTAAATGCAAGAGCTCCACAAATTAAGCTGCTCTTCAACTTAATGAAACTTAAATTACTGCACCTCCAGCCCCTACCCCCATTTTTTTTAGTCTTAAAAGTTTTTCCGTTCATCAGTAGTCTTAACAAGAATTTGAAGCTTTCTTTTTAATAGATCAAGACTTCATTGCCGTGGAATTGAGTGGGGGATCTGTGCGACTTCATGCCAACGCAGGATGTGGAACCCTGGTAATATCGATCGGATCCGATTTGAACGACGGAAAACAACACCACGTCGACATTTTCATTGATGACCACTACACCACTCTACGAATAGACTACTGCGCAGACGCCCTTGTTGATGAGAGTGATAGCGGAGTGGTCTATTCGCACATAACCAGAGATGGTATTTGTCAAACTAGGGCTTTTATTCCTGGTTGCGGGAACTTCATTACAACTCCGGAACCTCTGCAACTAGGAGGCTCTGCTACAAGTTTCTTAACTTACCAGAATATCAGATCGAACTTTTTTGACGGCGTAATTTCTGACGTAATAACTAATGGCTATATCATTGATTTGGACGAACCGGTCAGAGTGTCTGATAATAGCGTGTCAGGAAATCTGAAGACTGATGAATTTTGTTTCTCCGGAAACAGCGCTGTATGTCAAGGGAACTCAAGATGTGTCGCTACTTTGACTGAGTTCTTGTATTGTGAATGTGAAGCGACAAGATACGGAGATAGATGTCAATATGAGTGAGTTATTTGTTCATATGCCTTTCCTTATCATTGGATCCGTCTAGTATTTTTTTTAATGCTGGATTTCAGTTTCGACTCCGTCACTGTTTCTCTATGATTTTGTGAAGAAACATTTGTACAAACTGAAAACAGTATCAGTGCGGTCAATGCAAGAAGAAAGTCAATATCAGTGCCAACATTTTTTCACCGCAATTATTTGCTTTTGTACATAAAATTAAAGCAGTCTTACTCATTGGATTCCAGCAGCTTGAGCAGCTCCTCTGAGAATGTTTTTGATAAGGTTTTGAAGCAGAGCTTGGGAAATATATAGTTTCGAAAAATTGACTGCTTTTAATTGTGCTGTAATTGGTGAAAAAAGGAGAAAAAAAGCTATTGTGTCGTCGGAAAATGTCAGTGCCTGGCGTTCCTTTTCACCAGTGCTGTCAGTTCCAGCAAATTTCGACGCACCATGGCCTCTCTGTAATAATATTTATCCTTTTTGATCAAATTTTAATCTCATATGTAATCTGATGAGAAGGAACAAGTAATTATTGGGGAGAAATGATGAATGCAAAAAATGCAAACTGAACTTAAGAAAGTGCCTGAACTACGCTCATTGCTTTAGTGTATTTAAAGTTGCTATAACTTATAGGGTTATACCAATTGAAAAATTAGTATTATAATTTAGGAATAAGCCGCATTATTTCGACAAAAATCTCGATTCCTTTATCCTCTACGATGTGGATGCTCAGAACTTATTAGCCAATCAGAGAAGACGACAAAAGAGAAGTGCCTCTCTTTTCCTTCCGATTGAGATGGACAATGAGGGTGAAATGAGTATGCAGGTGACCTTCAGAACCACTGATGTGAATAGTGCTACTCTGATGGTTGTGCAACACGAACTGCAGTACGAGTTCGTACACTTAGAGGTAAGCAAGCAATGAATGAATAATTAAAATGAAACAATTTCCACTATAACTTCAAAAAATTTTCGTGGTTTGCACTTGGCTACTACAGTGCTGTTTACACTTGCGAAGCAAAGTGTGGCAGTACGAACTTTCTTTTTTTTCCTAACCTCAGCAAACAAAAGTCCTACTTTTGAATCGGTAGGCTGCGGTAGCAGTATAATATCATGTGTGCTTTGAGATTTGAATAGTAAAATAATAACACAGCTGATGCATTTTTAATTCATCAAATGAACCGAAAAAAAACAACTTGTTTCAAACAACATCACAATAATAAAAACTCAATTTCAGAAATTTTCTAACTCAATATATCTCGCAATTTTTTTGAATGCATAATTTGTACATAATGTGGCTTTATGCTTTGCGATTTGTTACATGCAAAGTTAGTGTGGATGACTTCAGTTTGTTATATTCCCAATTATTACTTGCAAATTGAGTCTATTTGTATTTGGTGCTACTTTTGCTGCATCGAATTGGCAATTTATTAGCATATTATTGGTGGCTTGTTTTTTGTTTTTGATGATTTTAAGCATCCTTGGTTGAGTGGTTAGTGTGTGAGACTCAAATTTGCTAGGTCGCAGGTTCGAATCCGACGTCTAGCCGAGTTTTTGATAATTCGAGGCTTATTTCTACTTTTTTTTATCTCACTTGATTGAACTGCTTTTTGGTCGTGTTCTTACAAGTGTTTGCGAAGCACAGCTTCGCCTCATAGTTTAAATTTGCCCGGACAAAACGGAAATTTGAAATTCAAAATGCGTTTTTCTCAAACTGTGTTTATTTTAGTTAAAAAAATGACGAAGACAAAATTTGCTTAGTTTTTCGGCAGAAAAATGTAGTGCAATGGACTTTCCGAAAATCGGGTCCAAAATTTAATCCCAAAACCGACCATTTTCGACTTTTTAGTCAAACAAAATTACGCCAAACTTATTGGTTTAAATGCTGACACAGATATATCAAAGTGAATCTCTTACATAGCCCAACAAAATTGTAGCGCTGTATAATCTTCAAAAGTTTGTGCAAAACGTTTGAAATTGGTTTTAAAATAAAAAAAAATTGTTAGTAAAATTGACGGTTTTGGCTATCAAATGAAAGTAAATTTGATTATACGAAATTGTGACGATTATGCCCTTCTTAAGTTTTTTTAAGAGGCTCATTTTGATGTATTTTTGTCAGCAATTGAACCAATAGTTTTGCCTAACTTTGATTGACCAAAAATCCGAAAATTGCCGTTTTTGAGATTAAATTTTGGACCCGAATTTTGCCAAATGAATTTGCACCATACTAATGCTGCTGAAATTCTAAGCAAGTGCTGTCCTCGTCATTTTAGTCTAAAATCATCCTAATTTGACCGAAACGCGTTTTAAAATTCCAATTTTATTCGTTTTGCCAGTACAAGTTAAATCAGCAGTGTATGAAGCAAAAAAACATGGTAAAAATTAATAAAATGGTAGACGAATTGCGTAAATTTTTTGTATTTTTTTAAAAATTTGGTTGATTAAAAACGGCGTGTAAAAACAAATAAAGCACCATATTTTTGCCTCGCAACCTGTATAGACTTATCACCGCAAAAAACTTTGTTCACAGGACTAATCTGGTTCCGTGGTACATAATTTGTGCAATTAGCTGGGAGATAACGAATACGGCTGGAATGGCAAAGGGCTTCTACTTGACCATGACCTGTTTTTTTTTTCAAACGGAATTTACTCTATTTCACATAAATTGTCGGCTTATTATGTGTCTGCATATGTTTTGTCGGCTTAGATGCCCCATATTAGAATCGTTATTTTTTTACTGTACGCAAATTTCATTGTTGTTGTTTTAAGTGTTATGATTATAACTTTGTAGTTTTACTTAACCATGACTTTTTATTTCCTGTTTTTGTTTTTTGGTTTCGCTTAAAAACCTCATTTGGCCCAAAATAATTCGGCCCACATTTTATCGGCTTAGTTACCTAGTTTTGGATCGTTTCGAAACACATTTTTATGCTCCCTTCCACATTGCACAAAATCCCAAAAGTCTTAGAACAGATTATTTTTTTCAAAGTTTTTCATGATAACAATTTTGGTTCATCGGCTCAGTTGCCGCTCGATAATTGTCTTTGAATTTTTTCGATTTTTTTTTTCATTTTATACTTAGTGACTTTCCTTTCCTGTCTGCTAGCTTGTAGCTTCAATGCTATTTTTATGGGGTAGCGCAATTGCTGAAAAGATTGAATTACTTCGAAACTCATTATTTCTTTGGGTTCGTGAGTAAGGCAGCGTATTTATTCCGACGTTTCATTCGCAGAATTCAATGTCAAAACCCTTTCGCATTAATTATACAAAATTTTACGTTTGAGAGTTAATCATGATTGAGTGGATGATCTTATAGATTTGTTGTTTCCAGCTGTTCAACGGGATTCCGAGAGCCAGAGTGAATCTGGGAAACCAGTTGGAGACCTTCACTTTAGTCTCAAACGGAGTGCCCCCTGCCGAGGCTGGCATCTGGGTGGCAGATGGAAATGAACACACACTCAAGTTCATAAGAATCAACAACTATTTCGTGCTCACTTTAGACGGAGGCAGTGCCTATAGAACTGTCAGTTTATTTCACCTTTAGATCCCTTTCAAAAGTATAATTTACACAATTTGAACCATTGCGAAACAATTCAACAGTTTTTCTCCAAAAAGTTCAAATTATCAGTTTTTAGCGTCCGCCAAATTCATTCACTGCAGCTTTTACTATGAAAAACCAAATTTAGTAATCTACTTAAAATACAAAGAATCTTGCTAAAATTTACTTTTATCAAAAAACATGTTTTTGCGCACACTAACAGTAATAAAAAAAGAATCAATGAACCAAATTTCTTCTGAGATATCAAAAGTAGCTGGATGTTTTTGCGTCTGACGAAAGCATTTAATATATGGTTGGTCAGATGTCGGCAAAATGAGTACTCACGTCTGCAATATGTTTAGATATCTATTCAAGGCTCCGAGTTTAATCATCTAAGCTTCAGCCCACTTGGCGTATCAGTGGGAGGATCGCCACGTTATAATTCACAGACAGGACTGTATGAAGTGAACAACGGGTTCAAAGGCTGCGTTTTGGACGCGAGACTGAATGGAAACTCCCTGCCTATAAGAGATGAACCGGGAATGAACGAGGGAAATGCGGATATTGCGGTGAGATTTTTGGGTTTCTTTTTCAAAGTGGCTAATTTTTTAGTGGTTAATCTGAGACTAACTTGGTTATCTTAATCAGAAAATGAAGAATTTTTTTGCATCATTTAATTAATACACGAGAATCAAAATTAGTCCAGCGCAATTGTTTTCCATCCTCTTTGGGACTCAAATGTGACGTTTTTGCGCTGCAAGCCTAAAAAAAACAAGCCTAAAGCGGCCTTCACTACCCCACCCCAAGTGGCTTTGGTGGTGGATGAGTAATGAACGTAGTGAGGATTCTTATATAGGTTTTGCTGATTTTTGTTTGTTTGTTTTTTTTTTCAGGAAAAGTCTTAAAATTTGTTCACGCTCAATTTTGATTTTTCGCGGTCTGACTTGTGATTTTTTTTAAGTTCAGTGCATTTCTTTTGTTAAAAAGAACGCAAAATCACGATTGAACAGCAAAAATGTAAAGGTCACGAAAAACGTGATAGACTTCTAACTTCGAAAATGGAAATTAATTATCAGATATCCCAGTGAAATAAAAATTTTGCCTATTGATCCAGTTTTCTCAAATTGGATTAATTTAAATATAAAAGTGTTCATCATAAATTGTTCTACAAGGCCATCTATTTTTTTTGAAATTCAAAAGTTGAAGATTTAAGAATACAAGTCAGTTTTTGTTTCAGTTTCATTGCGTTCATTACTCTTTTCCAACTGCCAATTGGCTATGTTCTTGGTCTTAAGTTGCAATTTTAGCCAACGTGAATCGAGTGTTTTAGAGGCAGCAATAAGTTATTTCAATTCAACCTAAATACAGGGTTAGCAAAAGTTATCTAATCTCTCTACTTTAGTTTGAACACTCATAAATGTGTTCAAAAAAGTAATTTGGCTGGGAACTGAAAAAAAATTGCTTCCGCATCAAATATTTCTGTCTAAGTTATGTTTTGGCGTTCCAGAAAACCATAGAAAATTATTTTGCTCGTCCTTAAAAAAGTCGACTGTTTAGGATGTTATTTCTCTAAAACTTTTTGCCCACTCCCTTGCAAACATCTTTGATCCGCCCCCTGCAGAGATTTCAGTAGAATGCAATCTTCGAGACAAAAATTGATAATATTTCAATTAATGTAAAAACAATTCCAATAACTAAGCTAATATTAGCTGTCAATAAACGAAGTGTCAATACTTTCTTAGGTTGTTTTTTAATTTTTTTTTTCAGGAAAAAATCCTAATTTTTCATCGCGCTCAAATTTGATTTTTGCAATTTGAAATTTGATTTTTTCTAATTTCTAATCAAACTCGTTTGCTTAAATGAAGGCAATTTGCGCTAGCCAATGACAAAAATGCAAAAGGCACGAAAACATTGATTCCAAAGTGGGTATTAATTTGCAGATTTCCCAGCGGAATAAAAAAATTATCTCTTAAACAATTTCCTTTAATTTGGGTTAGTTTTAGTTCTAATGATAATAGATCACTGAAAATCATAGAGCTTCAAGGTGATTATTTTTAAAAAGGACATTTTTTTTGGTGCCCTTGAGCTCAAGGAAATTTTCAACTGTCTGTTGCCGGGTCGAATTTTTGGTCTCTTTTTTTTCACTGGAGAGGGTGCTGAATGAGACCAGTTTTCAGAAAAACGACCTAAATGAGCCCAAACTTCATCAAATTGGCCCCAATTTTCGGCCTCCAGTTTTTCAGTATGGGACTGGATGACCTATTTTTCAAAAAGGAGATGAATAAGCCTAATTTTTAGCAAATTGGGCTCATTCAGTGTCCTAATTTTATTTAAGATTAAAACAAACAGTAATAGCAAAGTTGGTAAATCAGATGTAGTTTTCCCTCGAAGAAATTGTTTTTGTACAAAAGAGCTGAATGGATGAGCCCAATTTTCTAAATATTGGGCTCCTAGTTTGGCGCCATTTTGGCAATTTTTCCCCGATAACTCGGGGACCAATCGTACTAAAAATTGGGCTCATTCAGCCCCTTTCATGGAAAATTTATGCGAAAGTTTTGACGCACGTGGCTATCTTTACTTTTTTCTGAAAGTTAATTGTTCGTTTTTAAATTTAAACTTCTGAACAACGAATCAACGAAGACTTCTATCAAAACATATACGCAAATGCTAAGTTTTTTTAGCCTTCAAAGGGCTTTGCGCCTTTATTCATGTGAAAATGTTTTTTTCTGTGTTCACCCAGAAAATGATTGAGTATTGCTTTTGTTCAGGTGCTGACAGTGCAGAGTGTCGAGGAGGGATGTGAGAAGGATGCGTGTGTTAATGAGCAGGCATGTTCTGTACCCAGAGTCAGATGTCTCAACTGGTTCGACGAATTCTTCTGCACGTGAGTTGAAGAACAAGTTTTTCGCTTCTGACAAAAATTCATTCAGAAAAGCACTAAAGTTTTCCAGTTTTCCGCCATAACTCAAAGTTGTCTCAAAAACTCTAAGATTGCGTAGGTCGCAAAAATATCACGTTTAAATTTTTGATTGAATGGTTTAATAAAGTTTCGGCTCGATTTCAGACTTTGTCGTCATTTGCTTACCATTTGTTTGAACTCGGAATTTAATTAATTCATTTACAAATTAAAGAGTTCAAATCAAAATTTGAAAAGAATTAAAAAACTGGTCGGAGAATTACGATTGTAATTTTGATTCACAGCCAACTGACTCGATTCAATAATCTTGGCTATTTTTTTTTACCATACCAAGAAAACTTCCCTTTTAATGCCTATCTAATTTTTGTGGATTCCAGGACATTGATTTTGGCTTCCATGGTGAAACCTAATTTACCGAGCTTGGCAGTCTTTTATATGCGTCCTTTTCTTTTTCTTCTGATAATTTCTGTCATTTCAGATGTCCGCTGGGAACTTTCTTTGACCTCAACAACGATATCTGTCTCGACATAAACGAATGCGGTGAAGTTACTCCAACTGGCGTATGTCTGAACAACGGACTTTGTGTGAACTACAATCCCCTCGATGTTGAAAACACAGAAGGAATCTTGTTCATGTGCACATGTGCAGATGGTTTCAGCGGCAACACTTGTGCGCGGTCAGAACAAATAGTGTCCTCCGCAAAGTTGTCACTAGCTGCTTCCCTCATCATTATTCTCGCTCTGCTTCTGTTGATTCGTAAGCTAACTGATTCTTATTCTAGATTCTTAGTTTCTAGATTGTGGGCTCTTGTTCCAAAAACATATGAATTTCTTCAAAACTTTACGTTGTTCAAAACGTTTACGACCACTGATAGTGGACAGGCTTTTTGTCTTCGGGTGTTTTGCCCTTATTTCTTTTTCCATGCAAAAACTAGGTGCCACAAATAATCATAAGGTTGGCTCGAGCAATATATCATATATTTAGTCGCAATTGGAACGACGTTAAAAAATTTTCAAGAAATTATTCATTGTCGAGGAAAGCGGGTTTGAGTTTTTGTCGAAGAAAGTGACGGAATATTTGTGTTCGCGTTGATTTTTTTTCGCTCCAGACAAATTTCGAATTTTTAACTAGCAATTTTTGACGAATTTCTAAAATATCATTCGTAAGGTATTGTTGTCCTGAGCTCAAATGAAAAAAAGATATGATTCACCTGTGATCATTTTCGTAAAGTTTAAAGATTACCAATTTGGCCATTTTGAAACAATTAACGCGCGATATATTTCGTGCTATTAACGCATCAGCGGAGATTTCTTCCGTAAGAGAAGTTTTTTCCAAATTGGATTGAGGCAGGCTCTTTGGTCTATTTAATACTTTTTATAGGCAAAATAGATCCCTTTATACTTAACTTAGCGTGTGGAAGGATGATTTAAAAAAAAACATCATTTTTTTTTTGAAATTTCAGTTTTTTTTACTTATACTATAGAAAATAAAGGGCAGTCGGAACATTCAGGCCTTTGCCCTCATACAAGCAGTCTTGTTTAATTTTTACGCTATGTACGAGCGAGTTAGTTTAATCTAATTTCGAGCGAGTTATTTAAATCGGTTATTAAGTGCCAAGAACAGGGCTCAGTATTCAGACACTTACTCAGCTCTTGCAGTTTTTTCTTTTTCCAGTGAAAAGTCAAAAACTTTATTCTTAACTATTTCGGACGAGGGTATTTCTTTTCATTTCATTTCATTTCAGCTTGAAATTGATTTCGCGTGTTTTAGATCAATTCGAATTCAAATGCTAAAAAGGAGGCGAACAATGCAATTAGCGCTTAATAAGAGAAAATGGTGCAAAAACGAAAACAAACTCTCAAAAAACGTAATTGACTTCTAGTTTCGAAAGTGGAATGTAATTTTCAGATTTCGCGGCGAAATAAAATTTTTACTTTTTGATCCAGTTTTCTCAAATTGAGTTAGTATCAACAAAAAATTGTCTATTATTAAGTGGTCTCAAAATTTACAGTACTTTAAGGCTATCTAAATTGTTCTTTGAAATTCGAAAATGGAGATTTTTTCTAAAAACAATTGTGTTTTTTTTCTGTTTTCTTGCGTTCATTGATTCTTTACTCAAAAAGTTTTACTTTTTGATCGAGTTTCTCAAACTGGGTTAATTTTAACAAAAAATTGCCGATCATAGATAGTTTTTAATTGTTCTAAAAACTCAAAGAGCTTGAAGGGTATCTATTTTTAAATGAAGTTTGAAAGTTGAGGTTTTTTCAAAAACCAAATCAGTATTTTTTCTGCGTTCATTGACTCTTTTCCACCTGTCTGTTGGCTATGTTTTTTATAAGGAAAATATCTTAAAATTTGATTGCGCTAAAATTTGAGCTTTAATGACTTTTGAAGTCCAATACAGATTTGTTTGCTAAATGGAAGGCAGTTAACGCTCGCACATTAAAAAAGCGGAAACTGCGCAAAAAACGTCAGGTTCAAAATTGGATTTCAGTTTTTAGATTTCACAGGGTAATTAAACAATTACTTAATGATACAGTTTCATCTAATTGGGCTAATTTTTTTTATCAAAAACGTGTCGATCGTGAACTTGAGCAGAAAGATTCAACGTTTTTTTTTTCGATACTTAGAAACTTGAATTTTTTTTTGGTTTTACTTGAGTTCACTGATATTTTTCCAACTGTTTTTGGCTATATTTTTGTTTTATTAGTCATTTTTGATAGACAACTATAGTCAATTAAGACCAATGCCTATTGCTCTACCGTATAGATCTTCTCGCCTTACATCTCGTACAAAGAACAGCCAAATTTGAAAAAATACTTAAATAGTAAGAAAAAACTATAGTAGAAACGTTCTGTGATACTTGCATAGCAGCGTGCTGCTCTTGTCAAAATAGTTTTTTGGTATTTTTTCAAAATCTGACCGCAATTGTTTTTAAACCGATGAACTAAATAAGAAATTTGTTTCGATATGCGCTTCTGTTTTTTTTAAAATATCACTTCAGTATTCTTGAGTAATTGCTGATGTTACGTTTCAGCCATTCTATTTTTCTTCATTTGCTGCATAATGAGACAGTCCAAAAAGAAAACTAAGAAAAATGTCGGATACTACGACGACCAGAAGTTGGGATTTGGCCAATATGAGGGAGGAGGAGAGAGAGATCAGGAGTTCTATAACGTGGCGCCTCTTCGAAAGCCACAATCAGACGTCATTTACACCTCAGAAGGCCCAGTACCTGTTGTTCACGAGCATGTAAATGAAAACTAAATACACCAGTTTAGATATACATTTTGGTTAACTCTTTGCAATTCGTTTGCCCCATGTCAGCCTAATCGAAAGTTACAATTGCAACAAAATCTAAGGAATACTTCTGGGCTGTAAGTTTGCCTCAAATCAAAGAAGTTCTCGGTTTTTATGCTCTGGCACCATTTTAGGGCTGTTTAGGTCTGCATTATTTTGAGTCACGAAAATTGGAATCATCTTTTATCGCCATCTTTAAAAACTACTGATTTAAAAGTTAAAATTATTGCAAAAAAATATTTCAGATGAGACTGCAATATATGTTAGCGGAAAAATTTTCTAAATGGCTTTTATTGAGGTTGAGATATTTCATAAAAAAACTGTTCATATTTCAGCATTTGAAGTTAGATGCATAATAAAGTTTTTGTAACGGATTCGCTTTAGGGTTTCTTCTTTCGCGATTTATAGCTTCTGACGGTTTACAGATTTGTTTCCTGCACCTCAGAAAGTGTTAGTTAAGCAAAAAATTTATCATTGTTTAAGCACACAGATACGGTACAGTTAAATCGAATTTAAGAAAAGAACTGGAAGTTCTCCAAACTTTGAGCAGATCGCAATTTAGTTCATGTCTAAATTATTGATTTAGTTTCCAATGACGCAATTCACTCAAAACCCTGTAATGAGTGGGAATCCCCATCACAATTTGGGATTTGTGCCAGATGAATCGGATAAGACGCCCTCGTTGTCGCCGCGTCTCCCTCCATACGAGAATGGTCATATTAAGCCACACCACCAGCCAATCGAACACATTCTGGGTCCGAGGTTAGAGGTGAGAAAACTTAATCTGTCTGTTTGAATTTTTGTCCAAAACAAATTTACCATCCAACGCATGAACTTTTTGAAAAAAAAAATCAAACTGTTTAGGCCAAATTTCTCATATAATTGTTCGAGATCGGCAATGACGGGTAATTGCTTTTGCGATCGAGAAAAGGATAAATAGCAAAAAAAAACAGTTTTTGGTGGTCCAAAAATTCTTGGTGGTCCAAAAAAAACAAGTTGGACATGAAGTTTGTTACTAACTTTTTAACAATTACTTGTTTGTCGACGATTAGTGTTTAAGCATTTTGATGGCGGAAATTACAACCAGCAACAGAATTATTTGATGAAAAACTGTGGAAGATATACTTTATAGAAAGTAAATTATCTTCTGCAATTATTTTTTTAACACTAGAACAAGCTGCAGCAAGTCAAGCTTTACAGAGCTTTACAAAATAGACTAAAACTCAGAACTTCATGCAAACTAAATCTTCAAATTCGAGGCTTGAATGGTTAAACTAACTGCAGTCCGAGAAACGTGAAAACTTTTTGGTATCACCAATCGACTAAAAGCGAACAAGTTATACGGAAGCACAGAGAAATAGTTGGATTTTATAGTATCGCGTTAGTTGCATGGACGGGACGTGTGTTAGTTAATGATAATTTTAAGTAAAAACTAGAACTGAAACTGAATCGCTTGTTATATGTTGTCATCTGTTTAGCACGCAGACGATGCCCTCCGAAGACGAGGGGCTGATGGTCTGATGGTCTACCATTACGAGGGGGAGGGATCCGAAACGGGAACCCTCAGCACAGTCAACACCTCCCCTCACCATGGTCCCCCTGATTGGAACCAATTTTCCCGATACCACAATCATCCACAGCTTGGTCCTGCTGCACACATGATGACCGACGGAGCGAGCGACAGAGACTAAACCTTTCCCTTAACATAGCACCTCTCCCCACCCAACCCTTCATTTACCACACGTCCTAAGTTACACAAAAACATAGCATATCAAAAATTTGCTTTAATGTCTAACATGAAACTGTCATTAACACTAATGGTTTTGAGACTTGAAGTTTTCCCCTTCTAGAGATTGATGTTCCGTGCATATAATTTTGTAATTTCTTGGAGTTCATTTGTGAATATTTAGGTTTTATGTAAATAGAAAAACTTTTCTATCCAAATTCAATATGTTTGACCCAGTTGTTTTAAATGAGAGACAGCGCTGTCAGGAAATCGAATCTGGCAAGAACATTTCTTGATTCTCAAACTCGGAAAGCATATTTTAAGAAGCAAAACCCTTTGTTAACTGTTTTTCAGTGTTTATTTTTAAAATAAAATTTAATTGAACTTAACCTATAAGAGTTCTTTTGCCACAAATTCACTTCGGTGAGAGTCGTTGAACGTGGTGAAGACTCAGGTACTCATTTAGATGTATGGTCTCGTTACAACCTCGTTTAGAAGTATGGTCTCAAAAAACTCCCTTTGGTCTTATATTAAACTCAGACAAAAAACTTAAGGCTTCTGAGTTTTTTTAGGAATTTTTTCAAATTGCTCACAGAAAATGTTTTACCAAGTTGTCATCGAGCTGTTCTTTTTTGACGAAGTTCAATTTTTACCATAAAAACTAAATAAGGTAATTTAAATGGGACATGATCTTTTCTACCTTTGAACTTTTAAATAACTTTTGCTTTTCCAAGCGAAGTGATGTATTGTTTAATTCCTTTTCGCAGAAAACTTTAGTAGTAGTCCTAGGGGACCGTAACTTGAGCATAACGGTAAAATTACATAAAAATAGAAATTTTTGGAAAGAAGCTAAATTACATTTTAGCCAATGATGTTTCACGATTCCAATAGTAATCAAAATTTTCCGGCTATCTATGTAAATAAGTATATGAAAACTGTTGGTAAATAAGAACAACAGAAGAATTGATCCGTTTTAGTTAGTTTTCTTTATAAAAAAATTGAGTAAAAATGAATTAATAGTCATGCATCAGCCACTAAATGATCATACCGAAATGTTCTTATAAACTGTTCTTCCAGAACAACAGTTTGAACTGTTCATCCAGAATTTCAAAGTTAATTACAAAAAGCACACAAAAATGCGCAAATAAAACTAGCAAAATTTTATGCTAATTTATTTGTATGCTATTTTAAAAACCCTGTAAATCTAACCAAAACTGTTTTCAAGAACTCAAATGAAAAACTTTTTAAAGTAAATTATGCGAGGATTCACGGGACCACTTTTCTAAACAAGCTTTTTGAGTGAGTCTCATCAAAATGGCGCGACCACACTTTTAAAAAAGTACCAAGATTTTTATTTAGGTCGCAATGAGGTTTTTTCGCAAATACACTAATGATCCAGTCAGCGCAGTGTATTAGTGTGCATCTATTTTTTTTCCAACATGACTCGCAAATAATTGTGTTCATTTGGTGGAACTTATGTTTTTATTACAAACTTTAGCAGTGGAAAATTGGCTTTTTTCCACCCTCTCATTTGGAATTTAATTTTGAAAAATATTATTAACAATTATTTAAAGTTTAAAGATCTGGCATGGTTGAGAAACTAACTAAAGTGAACAGATGTTATTAGGAGTAATGAACGTTTTGAAGACTCCTATAACTATATATGTGCATTCAAAAATATAAATTTATTTGTGAATGCATTAGGTATATTTTTGAGTTCAATTAAAATCCATCTGCTGAAAATTACATAACTAGCACTCTCCAAATACGAACATCAAAATGGAGCGTAAAAATGTGAACAGTTTCTTTTCAAAGTGGAATCTGGTTTATAGATTTCCAGCGGAATGAAAACTTCACCTATTGATCTTGTTCTCTCAATTTAATTTTGTCAAAAAAATGATCGTCATAAATTGTTGTAAAAATTCAAAGATCTGAAAGGGAATCATTTATTTCTTCGAAATTTGGAATTTACAACTGTTTTATTTTCCTGTTTATTTGCGTTCATTACTTTTTTCCATTTGTCAGTTGGCCATGTTCCATGTGTTACATCGTAGCATCTGTTGTCTCTTTCATTTAATAAGACAACATGGCACAGAAGGAAGAACGTGAAACTCGAACTCTAATGGTCTGAGGTTCAATGTCGCACTTTGTTCTTGCTTTATTCAAAGATGGTGGACCTTCTGCTGCATAGCTTGCAAATCAAAAGATGCATCATTAGTGGCTGGTGTTATCTTACTATTAGAGGGTGTTGACGCAGATGCGAGAATGTGAGACGTCAATTATCGGGGTAACTGGTTCGATTCCGACGCATATCAAAAAATTCTAGGTGTTCTTCTTCTTTTTATGTATATAGTTGCTCTTTTTCATTTTAGCACTTGTGTTTCCGAAGCGCAGTCTTGCCTCTTAAATTAATTTTTTAATTTGAGTAGTATATGTTGGAGCCAAAACGTCCGAGGGAGGGGGGTGGGGGTTGAGGACCCCATGTATTAACATAAGCTATAGAGTATACGGTCCTCACCCTATGTTATAACACATAGGGAATAGTTTTCCCAATGTATTAAGATAGGGAATAGGTTTCCCAATGTATTAATATAGCAGGTTTCAGATGGTAAGTTTTTTCGGCGCCTGAATTTCGCATGTATTAGGATAGCGAATATATTTCCCTTTGTATAAGGATTAGAAATTCATTGTTGGGCATCAAAAACTCATTCAGATAGGGAAAAAATTTCCCAATGTATTAAGATAGGGAATGGTCAGGTTTCCGTGTGATGGTAAGAGAAAGACAAACGGTATTTTTTTGAAATTTGTGTGGAGCTGTCTAATTTTTTCGCAATAAATTCGGCGCGCGTTATCTAATTTTTAAATACCAATGTTAAATTACGTATAGGTTGTGGAACGAAGGTATTCTGTTTTTTGGTACATGGTAAGTCAATGGTAAGAGTTTCAAAAATTGAGAATTTTTATCAAAAAAATTGACATTTTTTTCGAAAAAACTTAAGATTTGATATAAATCGACCTGTTAACTATTTAATTCGATAATCATACTCTATATTGCAAAGCTCCACTTAACTGAAACGATGCTGAAGCCTTCTGAAAATTCGAAAAAAGTTAAATTATTGGAAAAAATTGCAAAAAGATTCAAGTTTTTGGGAAAAAAAAGTTGCAGAAATCTCAGGTTTTGGATATTTTTTGTCTTATCTGATCTAAATGTAAAATAGTGTTACCTTACGCGCAAAATTTAAATTTCAGCCCACCTTGTATTTTAATTGGAATCATATTGAGACAATGGACTAAAAAAATTTGATAAAAAAGTGGATTTTTTCACAGTTCTCTCTCTCAAAATATGGAAATACCACTCAAAGTTTACCTTAATTTAGCTCAAAAACGGGATTTATAATGCTTTGAACATAAAAAAGAACGCTCAATTTAGCTGAATCAAAATTGATTTTTCCAATTTCTTGAGAAAATAGTGAAATTAATTGTAATTTTTGAGAAAGTAAATTGAAAATGAAACGAATTTATCCACAATTTTTAGTTTTTATCCTTATAATTGTATAATTAACTGGTTTTTGTCCAATGCAGCAAGAATTTAAATAAGAATCTCAAATCAATTGAGCAATAAGAGCAATTTTCTTTGAAGCTTCTAGATCAAACTTCATGATTCACTTCCTCGTCAGTTTTTTCTCAAAGATTAACACAACTTTGTACAAAAATTACAACCTCTGAGAAATTTTTGACGTTAACATTAACAAAGTTTAGCCCAATGATGAAAAATAAACGGTGTAATGCTACAATTGACTGAAAACTGGATAAAGTATATTAGATATTGGATGAAATTCAATGAAATTTTCTTCATAACTGATGATTATCTCTCTGTTGCTTTTAAAACATAATTTTCATCATTTTTCTGTTAAAAAAGTTCTATGTTTTGAAGTTAATCTGTTTTCTGCTCAATATATGTTTTCGCTATTGAACTCATTTTGCAAGAACATTTAGTCAGAACTGGGGAACTATGGAGGAAAATAGTATCAATTGAACGAACAATTTGCTGGTAGAGAAAAAATTAGAACTGATAACGTCTGATTGTTACTATGTAATTTCGACAGTTTCCTTGTTCAGTTACTTCAAAAAATTATTTTAAAAAACACAATTTTTGAGATCATTAACTGGCACTTTTTTGTTAAAATCATTAGTAGATTGCTTTTTATTCTGGATTTTTGTCGAAAGTTTTCTCAAAAAAGTTTGAGTGAGAAAGAATTGGTGCTAGTTAAAGAATTCAAAAGCACGTGTAAAAATTGAGGTTAAAAAGTGTTTTTTTTTAACGTTGAGTTTTTAGAACAAATTAAGAGCAGCTCTATTGGTTATAATCTGAAAACTTTCGGAAGTAAAAATGTGCAAGGGAACCTAGTTCCTAACTTCTACAAACTTTAAATGAACGCTTCTTGAAAAATTCAATTTAGAAAAGGAAATCAGGATGTAAACTGTAACAATTGAAAAATTTTGCGATATTTAATAAGTAAAAAACTTTATAGTTCTAGCTATTTTTTTAAATAAAAAAAAACTGAAACTAACCAGAACAAAATTTTTGCTGTTTGTCTAATTTAGACGTTTCATGTTAAATTTCATATAATCAACAAATGAGTCTGCTCAAGTAACAGGTTGCCCAGAAATTTTCAGCATATTATTTTCTCTAAAATTTTTCCTTCATCAATTTTCGTTTGTATGAAATTTACAACAATTTTTTCATTAAATTACACATAAATCATAATCTTTGAGATTTTTAATATTGGATTTTTTCTCAAGATATATTTTCTAAGTTAAATTTCAGTGAAATTATCCCAAAACTACTGACTATTTAATTTGATTTTCTATCTACCTTTAGTATTTTCTCAGTTTCATCTACTTTCTTCCAATCTAATTCAATTCGAACAAAAATTTTATTTGAAAATATGAACTTAGATGAAAATATGTATCATTTCAAGGAACGTTCAATGATCCAAAGCAGAAAAAATACAATAAATTCTTGGCTTTTTTCCACCCTCTCATTTGGAATTTAATTTTGAAAAAAATGATTACCAGTTTCCTAAAGTTAAAAGATTTGGCATGGTTGAGAAACGAACTAAAGTGAACAGATTTCGTAATAGGAGTAACGAACGTTTTGAAGACTCCTATATAAGTAGTGGTGATTTTTGTGCGAGGAAGTCATAAAATGCACTAATAACTATAT